TGGATTTCTCGTAAGATGTAGTTTCCCTGCTGCGGGGTTATACACCGAAGCAATGGCAAGGAATGGCCACGCCGATAGAGAACGGCGGAGAGTTTTGGCCTCAGTTTTGTCGTCTGGTAGCGTTCCGCTTGAGAGGTAAGCATATATCGAATCTATCCAGCTTGGGTCCTGCCGAACGGCATGTACCTCGCCTTCGGTAGTGCTGCGCCGAGTGAGGATTTCGATCGGTACGTGGCGACCGACGTTGTCGTCAATTGCTGATGCCAGGCGTGATAGGGCATCGGCATGGCTGTTCTCAGATCTGGGGATCTGTTGAACCTGTTACGTGTCAAAGTGGTGTAGCAATCGGCGGGCATGCGTCAAGTAGGCAGCCATCGAAGTATCTTTGGCTTCGAATTCAGTCAATACCTGATTAACGACAAGTTGTGAGTCGCTGCATATCTTCAGCTGTCGAGCGCCCATTCCCTTGGCGAGCCGAAGGCCTTCCAAGAGAGCTTCATATTCGGCTTCGTTGTTGGAAGCTTGGAATTGGAATCGGATGGCATACTCAATGGTCGTTTGATCAGGGGCTTTGAGAACCAAGCCGGCCCCGCTGCCTTGTCGGTTGGATGAGCCGTCTACGTAGAGAGTCCACAGAGGGATTGATGAAATGAATGTTCCCTCGGTTGGACGGGCGACTGGTGCCGCCGATTCCGAAATGGCATTGGCCGGATTGGATCCTTCAGATGCAGTCATTTCAGAGATGAAATTCTCAGCAGGCCGAGGGCGATAGTGGATGTCGAATTCGCTGAGCTTAATTGCCCACTTCACTAGCTGACCTGATGTCTCCGGTCTTTGTAGTATCTGGCGTAGAGGCTGATTGGTGAGAACGGTAATGCTATGAGCCTAGAAGTACGGCCGAAGCTTGCGTGCTGAGAGAACAAGAGCATAGGCAAGTTTTTCCAGCTCAGGGTACCGAATCTCGGCATCCTACAGGGCGTGGCTGGTATAGGAAATTGGAAGCTCTATGCCGTTCGGCTTGCGAATGAGCACGGAGCTTAATGCCGTTGCCGATACTGATAGGTAGAGAATTAACTCTTCGCCAGGAAGAGGGGTGGATAACAGGGGCGCCCTGCTCATATAGGCCTTGAGGTCTTGGAAAGCGCGATCGCATTCGGCGGTCCAGACAATCTGCCGTTTGCTTCCTTTGAGGGCTTTAAAGAAAGGGGCACACCGATCGGTAGCCTTGGATATAAATCGAGCAAGAGCGGCGACACACCTCTGAGTCTTCAGAATCTGCATGTCGAGCAAGGCCTTGATTTTTTCAGGATTGGCTTCGATGCCTCGTTGGATGATCATGAAGCCAAGGAATTTGCCCGAGGAGACGCCGAAGGCACATTTACTTGGGTTGAGCCGCATGCTGTACTTCTTTAGGACGCTGAACATGAGGGAGAGGTTGTGGAGGTGAGAATCGGCTGTTTTGCTTTTGACCAGCATATCATCCACATAAACCTCCATCGAGGTGCCGATGAGTTCAGAGAATATTTTGTTGACCAAGCGCTGGTAGGTTGCCCCAGCGTTCTTCAAGCCGAATGGCATGACGTTGTAGTAGTAAAGTCCTTTGTCGGTGGTGAATGCTGTATGTTCGCGATCGGCAGGGCTCATGAATATCTGGTTGTAACCTGAGTATGCGTCCATAAAGCTAAGAAGTTCATGGCCTGCTGTTGCATCTATCATCTGATCGATCCTTGGTAAAGGGAAACTATCTTTGGGGCAAGCCTTGTTTAAATCGGTATAGTCCTGACACATTCGCCAGGCACCGCTCGACTTCCTGACCAGCACCGAATTGGCCAGCCAAATTGGGTAAGTGACTTCCTGGATGAAGCCGATTGTTCGCAGTTTCTCCACCTCGATTCTCATTGCTTCATACCGTTCGGCATCATAGGCCCGCCGTTTTTGCCTGATGGGTTTGAAAGTGGGGCAGATGCTGAGCTTGTGGCTGATGACGTTCGGGACAATGCCAGGCATGTCATCGTACGACCAAGCGAAGACCTCTGTATTGGCGAGCAAGAAAGCAATGAAATCGGCACGCAGTGCCGGACTCAAGGTGGTACCGATTCAAACCTGTCGGTCGGGCTCTGCCTCGGAGAGGACGACCGAATCCAAATCTTCAATGGGTTGTGCTTGTGGGGTGACAGCTTCATCCCTGGGATCATCCGGTTTGTCCGCCCCTCTGCCGTTCGGCATAGTAACGTTAGCAGCTACCGAGTATGCCTCGCGAGACATGGCTCGTGCCGAATCTTTGGTTGCTGAAACGTAACATGTCCGTGCACTCAACTGATCCCCTCGCACTTGACCTACGCCAGCGTGGGTGGGGAACTTGAGGAGGAGCATGTGTGGTGACAGCATGGCTTTCATTCTGGTGAGCGCTGTCCTGCCGATGATGGCATTATACGCTGTTGGGCAGTCGACCACCAAAAAGTGAGTATAGATGATCGTTCGTCTGGGAATGGTGCCAACCGCAAACGAAAGCAAGACACTGCCGATTGGTTCGATCACATCACCAGAGAAGCTTAGGAGAGGTGTCTGCTAAATCTCACGGCCTGGAGTTCCGGGCCGAGGGGATATGCGTTAACACGCGGTTTCCTGCTTTTGGGTGCGATGCGGTTTGTGCGCGGGTGTGCCAGCACGGTCTACCGTGCGTCGATGAATTGATGAGTGTTGGATGGTTGAGTGGTGCGCCTGTTTGAACTTGTCTTCTTAATCAAACGATTGTAGCCGAGAGAGGAAATGGTCTCGGCTGTTAGGTTCACGGCCTGAACCACAAGGCCGTTGAGTGATAGTGTAGTTGGTGGGTTTTGGGCGGTGCTCCGGCGCGCTGCTCAGGGAGCGACGGTCGTATGATATATGGGGTGAGTGAGTGAACAACAAAGATGGTGCTCCGGTGCCTTGAAAATCAAGACTCGTATGATATATTGATGAATGGGTTTTCCTTACAATCTATCACTACTCCTAGGAAAGCAAGTAAAGATATTGAAAGTGCATTACAGGAAAAAATAAGTTGCTCCGTGGGAGGCTTTGTTTTGGTGTTGAACCCTTTGAATGTAGCTCGAGTCTTGTATTTATAAGAAGAGTCCCTGGTGGAGTAATCGAGGCCAAAAATCTGCATGGTGGAGCTGGATTGGAGCAAGTGGGCAGTCCAATCGACATTTGGGATCGTGAAGTATGGTGGTGTGACCCCAGAAATCCCGGTGAATCTCGGCCGCCGCTCTTGATCGGGTTCTGACCTTCTGGCCGTGGAGACGCATTTATGGCCTGGATAGCTAGTGAACCAATATCTCAGGCTGTCAGAATTCTTGTGAGAATGTCCACGTCTAATCGCTCTGATCCCTATCACCAAATTCTGACTTCAGTCACTTCCCACCTTCCCTCATGCATTAAATGCGTCCTTGTAGCCAGTGGGTTTGCTGCATTAAACAGGCACTGCTTCATTAAATGAAGCCTGGGTCCCTGCTATCACGTGATGATCAGACTTTAATGTTTCTGGCCGCGATTTTGTTTGGCCTCGGCCTCGGCCTGCGCTTGAGGCCGAGATGATCATGCCTTGGCATTTCTTCTTTTGTCTTTTAGGAAGGCGAAGTACCCTGGCGAAACGCTGCGTTTCAGCCTTTACGAACAAGTGCCAAGGCCGAGAGAAAGGGCTCCTTCGGCCAACTTATGGCCGTGATTTATTAGGCACAAACATTGCCCCCACATCCCTGGATTCTTCGGCCACGGCATGGGTAGGGGCCGAATGGATTCCAAGGGATGGACCCTTTGCATTCCTTTCTGAAGTGATTGACAACTGGAGCATTAAATGCGCAGGCCAGTCGGCGCATTTCATGCCTCAAGCACGTCGTGTAGGCCATCATTGCCCAGGGCGTCGCTTCGCTTTGTCAGAGGAAGCGATGGCCTCTGGGCTTTTGACACGTCGTTGCGCCTGTTGAGCGTGCTGACAGAGCGTTACGTCTCTCGAGAGAGACACACCCTTTCGTTTCGAATTCTAGCGCCAATATAAAAACCCAGACTTTCTTGCTTTCTCCTTACGCTTTTAGAATCCTCAGACGCCCAAGCTTTGTCAAAAAACCCATTTCTCCAACCTTCAAAAACCCAACCAAACTCTCGCACCTCCAAGGTTACCAGAGAGTCCCTCGTGAGTTTGCGATTTTCCAGACTCTACAGACTTTATTCCTTTCCTCCAAGCTTTTCCTCCTTAAACACTCACCTTAAACCTGCTCTAATGGCCTCCAGTACCCCCACATCTGTTGAAGTTCGGTCCCAAACCTTCCAACCTGAATTCGAGGCTATTTGCCGAGATATTCAGGGCTCGATCCTGCCTGACATCATTGCGCCCTGGGCTGATGACGACTGCGCCCCCACTGATTCCTGCGTGCTCGGCCCTTCCATTAATGGCGGAATGCCAGAGAGGCTTATGGCCCATTTGAAGAACAACCTGGTCGGCCACATCTACCGCACGCTTCATGACATCGTTACCGATGGGATGAAGCCGAAGCACGGTGGTCCACTGTGGGCCTTCCAGTTCTGGCTGCAGGCCTACTTCCCAGAGCTGAGGGGTGTGGCCGCTTCCCAAGACAACGAGCCGCTGGCCAACGCATTTGCTCGAGCCCCCAAGAAGCATAACGTCACGGCCTTCTGCTACAAATTCTTCTACGGCTTGGCCGAGAGAACTGGTACGCAGTTCCGAGTCTGCATTGCTCGGCCATTCCCCCTATTCCTGACCCACGACCTCTCCGTCGTTCCTGATGTTGATCTGGGGCTCCTTCCTAGTTTCGCGCGACCTCCATTGCGGCCTGTCCAAAGCCGGGGCCGAGGTGTATCTGCCGAACCTCGTGGCACGGCAGTTCGGCCTAATCCAGACGGCCCCGCTCCTCCCTCTGTCAACCAATCGGTTATCGTCTTGGAGGGCTGACGTCTCCCAGCAGCACGGGGTGGCTGAGATCACCTTCCAGCTTCAAAAGGGAATGACCTTCCTGACTCTGACGCCTTGGTCGCGCCGCAACGCGTACGACGAGGATGGAAGGGTCTGGTATGAGGAGTGTATCTCGGCCAGATTTATTCGGCCTGTTGAAGAGGCCGTGAGGGCGGCCCTGACGAATGCAGATTGGGACCCTCTCACCCCCAAAGGCAGCAAGGTGAAGAAGGTATCAGCCGGGCCGCCCCGGCCAAGTGCTCCGGCCATGGTCGCCTCCAGGGTGCCGGCCCCTCCCCTGGCTAGGTCAGCGGCCGTGGCCTCCACCGCGGCCCCATCATCGACCGCGGCCTCAGCTCCCAGGGCGACGCCTGTGGTGGGGGGATGAAAAACGCTGGCGCATAGGACCGTGCCAGCCTCACCAACGCCTCGTCCATCCACTGCTGCGGGTAAGCCTCGCCTAACTTTTCTTTTTTATCGCCTATCCCTCACCGGTCTTTTCAAACCTGCTCTGTCTCCGGTCAACATACTCCTCTCTTTTCTTTGTATGCGCAGCCTCGGGTCGCAAGAGGAGTCGAGAGGTATCAGGTGCCGAGGCCGCACCGGCCCAGAGTGCCGCGGTCGAAATGGCGGCCCCGCAACGACCGAGGAAGAGGACCCTTTTTACCTCCTCGGAGGGCAGAGGTGAAGAGGAGGCTCCTCCCGCGACTATGAGTGAGGCCCCCCCCGCGATCGTAAGTATTACTCCCTGGCATCCCCTTTTCCTCTTTTGTTCATTATGGTAATCTGGCTCTTTCCTCAGGACGTGGTAATAGTCGAGGAGGAGGCTACGGTCGAGGACGCGGCCGCTGCCCACATGGTGGTTGAGGAGGCGGGGGCCGCAGAAACGACGGTTGAGGGGGCAGCCGCCGTCGAAGAAGTGGCTGAGGCGATGGATGCTGAGATCGCGCCTGCAGAGGTGACGGCCGAAGAGATTGCCGAGGAAACCGCCGAAGAGGCCGCTGAGGGAGCTGCCGACGAGGGCGAAGAGGAGGCCATTGCAGAGGCCGCTGAGGAGGCAACTGACGAGGCCGCCGAAGAACCTGCTGTGGACGCGACAAGTGGGCTTTTGACGTCCACCCCTCGTCGCCCAAGCGGCATCTCCATTCGCTCGGTAAAAATTTGCCTTCAATATACTTAGCTTTCATTGTTCTTTTTTGATCTGTTTTACACTTCTGACCGAATATTTGTCTCTAGCCTTCCCAATCGTCGCCGCCGCTGGCCATGGTTGCCGCGACCATATCTCCCATGCCGTCGTTCCATGACTCAACGGTCGTGGCCGAGCCGGTGGTGACTGGAGCTACGGTCGTGAGTGTGCCGAGTCTCCTGCGGACTACTTCGGCAGTGATGACCGACCTTTCGCTCCCTGTGAGTATTCGACCCCTTTTTTTGTTTATCCACTTATGCCCCAATCAATTATCACTTACCCTTCCTCCCTCTTGCGTTTAGGAGGCCACCTCCTCTGATGATCTTGAGGAGCTATACGCCAGCCTCCATGAGGAAGGGGGAAGCTCGGCCTCGGCTCCGTTGGACGAGGATTCCAAGACCGTTATTGAACGGCTCCGGGAGTTTCTTCTCCTTGATGTTCGGCAGATGACCACCGCCGGGGCGATCACGGAGTTTAGGTCCTGCTTAGATACGGCCATGGCACTCGGTCTGCTCGACTCGGAGTGGTTGCTGTATTACATAGTTCTAGAGATCGGATTTCACTCAAAATTAACCAAATGACTCCTCCCACCATATTATGATGTTGCATAAGTTTTGGGATCGATCCGAAATCAATAGGTGCAAGAAATTGGACAATTCAAGTTCGAAGGCAGTACGTTCCTAATTAGAGTGGTTGGTGTTTTGGGTAGTTCTAGAGATCGGATTTCACTCAAACTTAACCAAATGACTCCTCCCACCATATTATGATGTTGCCCAAGTTTGGGGCTCGATCCGAAATCAGTAGTTGTAAGAAATTGGACAATTCAAGTTCAAAGGCAGTACGTTCCTAATTAGAGTGGTTGGTGTTTTGGGTAGTTCTAGAGATCGGATTTCACTCAAACTTAACCAAATGACTCCTCCCACCATATTATGATGTTGCCCAAGTTTTGGGCTCGATCCGAAATCAGTAGTTGTAAGAAATTGGACAATTCAAGTTCAAAGGCAGTTCGTTCGTAATTGAATTGGTTGGTGTTTTGGGTAGTTGTAGAGATCGGATTTCACTCAAACTTAACCAAATGACTCCTCCCACCATATTATGATGTTGCCCAAGTTTTGGGCTCGATCCGAAATCAATAGGTGTAAGAAATTGGACAATTTATGTTCAAAGGCAGTTCCATCCTAATCGGAGTCGTTGGTGTATTCCACAGTTCTAGAGATCGGATTCCACTCAAAACAAACCAAATGACTCCTCCCACCAAATTATGATGTCGCATAAGTTTTGGCCTCGATCCGAAATCAATAGGGGTAAGAAATCGGACAATTCAAGTTCAAAGGCAGTTCGTTCCTAATTGGAGTGGTTGGTGTTTTGGGTAGTTCTACAGATCGGACTTCACTCAAACTTACCCAAATGACTCCTCCCACCATATTATGATGTTGCCCAAGTTTTGGGCTCGATCCGAAATCAATAGGTGTAAGAAGTTGGACAATTCAAGTTCAAAGGCAGTTCGTTCCTAATTGGGGTGGTTGGTGTTTTGGGTAGTTCTAGAGATCGGATTTCACGTAAACTTAACCAAATGACTCCTCCCACCATATTATGATGTTGCCCATGTTTTGGGCTCGATCCAAAATCAATAGGTTTAAGAAATTGGACAATTCAAGTTGAAAGTCAGTTCGTTCTTAATTGGAGTGGTTGGTGTTTTGGGTAGTTCTAGAGATCGGAATTCACCCAAAACTAACCAAATGACTCCTCCCACCATATTATGATGATGCTCAAGTTTTGGGCTCGATCCGAAATCAATAGGTGTAAGAAATTAGACAATTCAAGTTCAGAGGCAGTTCGTTCCTAATTGGAGTGGTTGGTGTTTTGGGTAGTCAAGAGATCGGATTTCACTCAAACTTAAACAAATGACTTCTCCCACCATATTATGATGTTGCCCAAGTTTTGGGCTCGATCCGAAATCAATAGATGTAAGAAATTGGACAATTTATGTTCAAAGGCAATTCGTTCCTAATCGGAGTGGTTGGTGTATTCCATAGTTCTAGAGATCGGATTTCACTCAAAACTCACCAAATGACTCCTCCCACCATATTATGATGTTGCCCAAGTTTTGGGCTCCATCCGAAATCAATAGTTGTAAGAAATTGGACAATTCAAGTTCAATGGTAGTTCGTTCGTAATTGAAGTGGTTGGTGTTTTGGGAAGTTCTAGTGATCGGATTTCACTCAAACTTAACCAAATGACTTCTCCCACCGTATTACGATGTTGCCCAAGTTTTGGGCTCGATCCGAAATCAATAGGTTTCTGAAATTGAACAACTTATGTTCAAAGGCTGTTCGTTCCTAATTGGAGTGGTTGGTGTTTTGGGTAGTTCTAGAGATCGGATTTCACTCAAACTTATCCAAATGACTCCTCCCACCATACTATGATGTTCATGATGTTGCCCAAGTTTTGGGCCCGATCCGAAATCAGTAGGTGTAAGAAATTGAACAATTCAAGTTCAAAGGAAGTACGTTCCTAATTGGAGCGGTTGGTGTTTTGGGTAGTTCTAGAGATCGGATTTCACTCAAACTTAACGAAATGACTCCTCCCACCATACTATGATGTTGCATAAGTTTTGGGCCCAATCCGAAATCGATAGGTGTAAGAAATTGGACAATTCAAGTTCAAAGGCAGTACGTTCCTAATTGGAGTGGTTGGTGTTTTGGGTAGTTCTAGAGATCGGATTTCACTCAAACTTAACCAAATGACTCCTCCCACCATATTATGATGTTGCCCAAGTTTTGGCCTCGATTTCAAATCGATAGTTGTAAGAAATTGGACAATTCAAGTTCAAAGGCAGTTCGTTCGTCATTGAATTGGTTGGTGTTTTGGGTAGTTCTAGAGATCGGATTTCACTCAAAACAAACCAAATGACTCCTCCCACCATATTATGATGTTGCCCAAGTTTTGGGCTCGATCCGAAATCAATAGGTGTAAGAAATTGGACAATTTATATTCAAAGGAAGTTCCTTCCTAATCGGAGAGGTTGGTTTATTCCATAGTTCTAGAGATCGGATTTCACTCAAAACTAACCAAATGACTCCTCCCACCATACTATGATGTTGCATAAGTTTTGGGCTCGATCCGAAATCAATAGGTGTAAGAAATTGGACAATTCAAGTTCAAAGGCAGTACGTTCCTCATTGGAGTGGTTGGTGTTTTAGGTTGTTCTAGAGATCGGATTTCATTCAAACTTAACCAAATGACTCCTCCCACCATATTATGATGTTGCCCAAGTTTGGGGCTCGATCCGACATCAATAGGTTTAAGAAATTGGGCAATTTAAGTTCAAATGCAGTTCGTTCCTAATCGGAGTGGATGGTGTATTCCATAGTTCTAGAGATCGGATTTTCAATCAAAACTAATCAAATGACTCCTCCCACCATATTTTGATGTTGCCCAAGTTTGGGGCTCGATCCGAAATCAATAGGCGTAAGAAATTGGACAATTCAAGTTCAAAGGCACTACATTCCTAATTGGAGTGGTTGGTGTTTTCCATAGTTCTAGAGATCGGATTCCACTCAAAACTAACCCAATGCCCCCTCCCACCATATTATGATGTTGCCCGAGTTTTGGGCTCGATCCGAAATCAATAGGCGTAAGAAATTGGACAATTCAAGTTCAAAGGCACTACATTCCTAATTGGAGTGGTTGGTGTTTTCCATAGTTCTAGAGATCGGATTCCACTCAAAACTAACCCAATGCCCCCTCCCACCATATTATGATGTTGCCCGAGTTTTGGGCTCGATCCGAAATCAATAGGCGTAAGAAATTGGACAATTCAAGTTCAAAGGCACTACATTCCTAATTGGAGTGGTTGGTGTTTTCCATAGTTCTAGAGATCGGATTCCACTCAAAACTAACCCAATGCCCCCTCCCACCATATTATGATGTTGCCCGAGTTTTGGGCTCGATCCGAAATCAATAGGCGTAAGAAATTGGACAATTTATGTTCAAAGGCAGTTCATTCCTAATCGGAGTGGTTGGTGTATTCCATAGTTCTAGAGATCAGATTTCACTCAAAACTAACCAAATGACTCCTCCCACCATACTATGATGTTGCATAAGTTTTGGGCTCGATCAGAATTCAATAGGTGTAAGAAATTGGACAATTCAAGTTCAAAGGCAGTACGTTCCTCATTGGAGTGGTTGGTGTTTTGGGGTGTTCTAGAGATTGGATTTCACTCAAACTTAACCAAAAGACTCCTCCCACCATATTTTTATGTTGCCCAAGTTTTGGGCTTGATCCAAAATCAATAGGTGTAAGAAATTGGACAATTCAAGTTCTAAGGCAGTTCGTTCCAAATTCGACTGGTTGGTGTTTTAGGTGGTTCTAGAGTTCGGATTTCACTCAAACTTAACCAAATGACTCCTCCTACCATATTATGATGTTGCCCAAGTTTTGGGCTCGATCCGAAATCAATAGCTATAAGAAATTGGACAATTTATCTTCAGAGGCAGTTCGTTCCTAATCGGAGTGGTTGGTGTATTCCATAGTTCTAGAGATCGGATTTCACTCAAAACTAACCAAATGACTCCTCCCACCATAGTATGATGTTGCCCAAGTTTGGGGCTCGATCCGAAATCAATAGGTGTAAGAAATTGTTCAATTCAAGTTCAAAGGCAGTTCGTTCCTATTTGGAGTGGTTGGTGTTTTGGGTAGTTCTAGAGATCGGATTTCACTCAAACCTAACCAAATGATTCCTCCCACCATATTATGATGTCGCCCAAGTTTTGGGCTCGATCCGAAATCAATAGGTGTAAGAAATTGGACAATTCAAGTTCAAAGGCACTACATTCCTAATTGGA